AAAAAAGAAAGGAAAAAAAAAGTCAGGCATAGTGTTATATGCCTTTGATTCCAGCACTTCAGAGGCAGAGACAGGCAGCCTGGTCTATAGAAAGTTCCAGAATACTGTAATAGTGAGAACCTGCTCCCTACCAAAAAAAGAAAAAAGCCAAAAAAAGGAGTGTCTCAAAAATTTTTTTAATGCCACGTGTGGGCTAGAAGAGTAGCACATACCTATAATCCCCTAATAGCATAGAGGAAGAGTCAAAGAAGACAAGTTCAAGGTCAGCTTGGGCAATGAAATGGGATACTACATCAATAAACTAATTATTAAAAGGAAATTAATCAAAATAAATACATGTGGGGTCTATGGTACAGCTTAGTTACAGGACATTCATTTAGCATGAATAATTCTCAGCATGGTCAAGAAAATTAAATACTACATAAAGTGACACATTTACACACCTACCTAGAAAGCTGATTTCTGGCCACTGGAGATACTATTTTTGCTAGGTATGATAGTATATACTTGTAATCCTAGCACTTGTACAGCTGAGGCAAGAGGATCATCCCAAATTGGAAGTCAGCCTGAGGTAGAGAGAGCCCTTGCCTCAAAAATAACTTTTTACTTTTATTTTTCTAAATTTCTATAATGCACATCACCACTTCTTCTTTTGGGGCAGGGTTGATTTGAGACAGGGTTTTTCTGTGTAACAGCCGTCAAACTTGCTCTGCCGACCAGGTTGACCTCAAACTCAAGAGATCCACCCGCCTCTGCTGCTGGTAATAAAGGTGTGCACCACCAAATCTGGCTCACATTACTTCTATGAAGGTTAAAGAGTAAATTATAAAACTATATATTGTAGTGCTTATCTCTAAGCCCAGCACTTGAAAGAATGACAAAAAGGAAAACTAAGGTTGAGGCCACTTTGGTCTCAACAGACTGCCTCGAACCCAACCCTCAAGGGTAAATTTAAATTCTATGTGCAGAACAATGAGTATATGAATGACAACACTGTGCTGCTGTATCACAGAAGTTGGATGATTGGGTTTTTCTTAAAGGTAAAGGGCTGGATATGATGGCACATACTTTTAATCCTAGCGCTAAGGAGATAGAAACAGGCAGATCTCTTAGAGTTCAAGACTAACACGATCCACAAAGAGTTACAGGCCAGACAGGCCCACATAATGAAACACTGTCTCAAAAAAGGTGGGAGAGCAGAGGGGACTGGTGAAATGGCTCTGTGGATAGTGTTTGCCACCAAGACCACCAATTTGATTCCTAGGAGTCCATGGGTGAGAAAATTTGACTCCTGAAATTTGTCTGACCTCCACCTGCACTTGTCACTTTGCATGTCTGTCTCTCAGGGGCCAGAGAGATGACTCAGTTGTGAGCAGGGGGGGGCTCTTCCAGAGGACCTGCTTCTCAGCACCGACCTGGCAGCTCACAACCATCTGTGGTTCCAGTTCCAAGGGATGACTCTCTTATGGTCTCTGATGCTATTAGGCACACATGTGGTGCAGATATAAACACTTGCCCATACAAATAATTTTTAAAAATAGATTTTAAATGCAAAAAATAAGGAAAAAGGGATAAAAAGTGAATTGCCTTTTTTTGTGTGATATTGAGGATCAAACCCATGCATAGGCGAGGCAATCTATGCCCCTAGCTCAAAAGTGAATTAATATTAAATCTTGCAATATTACTTACATACCACCTTAATTTCCCATTTTTTTAGCATAAAATGCACTATGGGGATCAAGTATTTTAGGTGATTTCTGACCTCTCCAAACTCAAATTCCTTTCTTTGCATGCCTAACCTCACACTGATCAAGCACACCCTGTGACTTCACTCAAATGTTATCCTGCACTTCATCAGTCTCTTATGTTACCATGGTTTCCCTCCTTGATTTCAGTTCTTTTGAATGCCCCATCTCTCCAAAGTCCAAATTTCAGGGCTTGGAGGTTAAGAGCTTCTTGCTCTTCCAGAGGACCCAATTCAGTCCAGAACTTCGATAAACAGTTCACAAACCACCTGTAACTCCAGCCCCAGGAAATCCAACACTCTTCTGGCCTGAGGTAGCACACAACACATAAACCCATACTCATATAACTGAGAAACAGGCTGTAGGTAACAGTAGAGTACTTACTTACCTAGGATGCACAAGGCTCTAGTTCAATCCCTGACCACAACAAAATTAGCCATTAGCTAGGAGAGGTGGTAAAGGCCTTTGATGCAAACATTCAGGAGACAGCTTGGTCTGGTCTACCTAGTGAGTTCCAAGACAGACAGGGCTACAGTGATATCCTGTCTCAAAAACATTCACTTGACGTTAATTTTGTGGCACTGTACGTCCGTTGGACTTTCTTAAGGGCAAATTCTGAGTTATCTTGGACCCAAATAGGTCTTTGGATGGTATTTAAAATCTTGCCTTTGCTATGTTGGTTCTCTATAATGTAGTTTATGTCATTCTTTTTAGATAATTACATCATTTCCTCCTTCCCTGTCCTCACTCCAAAACTTTCCACATGCCTCTCCATGCTTTCAAATTCATGGTCTCTTTTTCTGTTGTTACATGTAATGTTATGCCACATTCTTGACCTGATTCTCGTCCTCTGATCACAGCACATCCTTCTTACACAAGTACCCAATAGTTCAGAGGGCATTTTCAAACATTTTAGCTAAGAAAGTGGAGGTCCAACTGTCAACCCTAGTATGACAAGTAACCATCCTAATGCACCTTCCAGTAACTTAACCTGTATCCCTATGTCCTGGGGGGAAATGATCCATGTCTTGCTATGATCATAACTTGATGAAAGAGTCCCCAAAGTCTTTCTCCAAGTAGGCTCATCTCCGGCCTTTAACGAAAATGGGTTGTCAGCATACAAGGATGACAGTGCAAAGTGGGTAGAAAAACTACAGACCACATAATCAGGAAAGCCCAAATGGCAAGGGGAATAAAAGCTAAGTGGTGGGTAGAGACAGTGATTCAAATCCTAACAGCAAAATCTATTTACCGAACAAGTCTAGAGAAGATGTTCCAGTCTGTAATCAGACAATCTAAGTTATCTTATGTCCTTGTAGTTTGCCCATACAGACTAGAACTTTTTTCTTATTGTAGATTTTGTGATGACCAATTCTGCTTAGTGGATTAGTAACTATTAGTTACTAATAGTTACTAATTAGTTAATAATTAGTAATTATTTTCAGTTATTACACTCTTGGGGCAAGGTTATGGCACTGACTTCAGAAACAGTAGTCATAACTATGGTATATTCTTGAATGACCAAATTAGAGAGCTGGGGGATATAGTTCAGTGGAACAATGCTTAGCTGGAATGCACAAACCTCCAGTATTTTAAGATATGTATGTCTACATGTGGCATGTGCAAGTAATAAGGAGGTGGTACAAGGATTTGGAGTCCTCCGCAGAGTATAACCTCTTAATGATTGAGTATTCTCTTCTGCCCAAAACCTTTTTTTCTTTTTTGAGACGAAGCCTTGGCTGTCCTAGAACTTACTATGTAGACCAGGTTGACCTCAAACTCAGAGATCTGTCTGTCTCTGCATGCATTCTGAGTGAATCACCATGTCCAACTCTCCAAAACATTTTTTTTTTTTTTTTGCAAATCTAGTACCTAATCCTTCAGGATAAAGGGTTCTACAAACCTGGTTTTATCAAATACAGGTAGAAGGGGAACACATTCACCACATATGCAGCTCCATCAGGCTGCTCCCCTTTACTACAGACCTACCCACTGATGCTGAATGTATAGTCCAAGAAAGTACAAAAGAAATGCTATCCCCACCCACCCTGCTCAGTAAGGCTACATTAAAGTGTTAAAGAAAGGGGGTGGGACTGCTTTTAGGAAATCCTGGATGCTCAGAGAAGAGAGAAAAGACTTTATTGGGTTTTTCAGGAGTGTAGGAGTCATGAAAAAAAATTTTTTTAAAAAAAAAAATTTCTGATTTAAGTTCTTCCCATGTACAAGACACAGGTCAGTGACAAATTTCACCCCAAAGTATTCTGGCAATATTCTGTCCCTGGTGGGTTTTACCCTTGTGATAAAGAGATAAGGAATAAACTCATTCCCATCCTTAGTTATGGATCAAGAGTAGTATGAAAGAAGGCTAGGGATAGATGGATTAGTGAACAAACACTTGCCACATTAAGTGTGAGGACCTGAGTTTGAGTCGTCAGGACCCACAAAGCCAGATGCCAACAGTATATAATTCTAGTGCTCCCAAGGCAGCATGATGGGAAGGAGAGAAAAAAGAACCCGTGTCAGTGGTGGCACACACCTCTAATCCCAGCACTTGGGATGCAGAGGCAGGGCAGATCTCTGTGAGGCCAGCCCAGTCTACAAAGTGAGTTCCAGGACAGCCACGGCTCTTAACACTGTACAGAGAAAAGAATCCCCCCAAAATTCCCAAGCCAGATGTAAGGAACAGCAAAGAGACTTCTTAGTCGCAAAAAAGGTAGAAGGTGAGGACTGATACCCAACAGTGTCCTCTAACCCACTTGCATGCAATCACACTTATAAAAAAGCAGGTACATTTTTTTTTAAAAGTGTAAACTTTTTTGGACCCCTGAGTATGTCAGTAGGATGCAAACTTCCAGGAAAAGAAGAGGCATAGTGGCCAGGACTCAGGCTCCATTTTGACCCAACATTTATTGTCCTTTTACAACATGTCATTTTTTTTTAATTTTTAATTTTTTTTTTGGTTTAGAAACTGCTTATGATTAGTCTTCCAACAGTAACTCAAAAGCATGTAAAATAAAATCAACCTACTTTCTATATAAACACCCAGCAAACTGTGGCCCCTCATCCACCTACCCAGGTTGGCTAGGGGTAAGGGAGGGCTTGGGCAGCATTGAGAAAAGTACAGACGCTTTATTGTGGTAATGGTGAGGGTAGTGCCTTGGTTTACACGCCACAGGTTGCCTGCACCACCCCACTCTGCAGAAGAAATGGTGTAGGCCCAAGGCCCAATTCCTTGCTGGTAATTCACTCTTCACCTCCCAAATGAAAATCACTTTTATTTTATCGCTTTTGTAATTTTTTCAACAGAAAACCCCTGTCCAGAGTCTAACTGGAGCTGAACTGTTCAGACTGAGGAATGGAACAGGCCACGGGTACACCCATGGTCCCTCTCGGGCAAGTGCCCCCACCCCCAGGGAACAAGGTCCAGCTAGGCCAGCTCACTGCATGCTGGCACACCACTTAGCCATACAGGTCATCGTCATTGTCTTCTGTGTACACACTGCCACCTGTGCCACCTCCACTGCCCTGGCTGGGGCCAGCTCCACCCTGGTTCCCTGAAGGGAATCTGTATATACAAGAAAAAAGCCAAAAAAGAAGATATGGATAGGGCCTGTGCAAGGTTTTCATAACTACTGCTCTAGCCTCCTTATGAGTCCCCACCACTGTTTCTACAAGCCCAAGTCCCCCAAGCAACTTAGGAATTGCCCATTGCCACCAAGATTACCTGAAGCTGCCGAAACCTCGACTTTGCTGAAGTGTCTGGGCAAACATTTCATATTTCCGAATGTCATTATCACTGACAGAACGACGGGCAAAGCGCATAGCTTCTTCAAAGTGATCTCTGCGGATCTCAGGCACTGGATCATCCTCTTCTACTTCCTATAAAGTTGGTAAGCACAGACCACTATGCTAGTTAGGACCCAGTATGCACTCCATCCCTGGTCTCCTTATCCTCCAATTATTGTAGCAGTTTATGGATCTTTGACTCTCCAACCTTAATTAGGTGCCAGGCCAAATTTCCTAAAGGTAAACACTGCTCTGTTTAAAAATGTACCAGTGCATCCTAGAAATGGGAAAACTATACAGAAAGAATTCTTATCAGTTGTTGCCAGGGGCTTAAGAAAAAAAAGATACCGATTGAAGTGCCCTAAGGGAACTTTTTGTATCCTAACTGTTCCAGCAGTTAACTTAGACAGATGTGTGAGACACATGGAAATTAGTACTTAAAGAGACTATAGCACTTTAAGCCTCAAATCAGAGTGTCAATAGATCTTCACTATTCTTTACATACTATATTGTACACTGCTTTACCTAGAAGCTTCATTTTCAGTTAACACATACTTCATAGTTGCTTTGTATTTTTGAGACCAGGCCTAGGCTGACCTGGAAATTCTGTCTTCATACATCCTGATTCTGTCTTCATACATCCTGATTCCTACAACCTTTCTAGAAGTTATTTGCCCTCTTACTCCTTTATTGAAAGATCTCTTCAAATCTCAGCTTAACCCCTACTCTTCTATTGAGAATTAACTCCAATTGCTATGATTTATGAGACTAATTTCCAGCATCAATTGCTTTTTTTCTCTAAGAAACTCCTTAACAGTTATACTGCAAAGGCTCTCTCTAAAAGGCAAAGAAAGCCACTTGCTCATTTTTTATTCATTCACAGAGTGAATTCCAAATAGAGTGGAACCACTTTTTTTTCCTAAAGGTTTTTCAAGACAGGGTTTCTCTTGTGTTACAGTCCTACCTGTCCTGGAACTAGCTCTTGTAGACCAGACTGGCCTCAAACTCGAGATCCACCTGCCTCTGCCTCCCGAGTACTGGGATTAAAGGCGTGCGCCACTACTGCCCAGCTAGTTTTTACATTCACAGGGTTTCTCTGTGTTTTACATTCTTATATATACATACATTTACATTTTTCATTTTGGGAGTACATGAATTCCCTTCCCCACCAGAATGGAAAAGTCCAGACTCTAAGTTTAAAAAAATCTTTTCCAGAGCTGGAGAGTTAGTTCAGCGGTTAAGAGCATTGCCTGCTCTTCCAAAGGTTCTGAGTTTAAATTCCCAGTAACCACACGGTGGCTCACAACCATTTGTCTGGTGCCCTCTTCTGGTCTGCAGACAGAATATATAAATATGTATATAAATATACATAATATATAAATAAATATTTTAAAAAATCTTTTCCAAGCTGGAGAGAAGTCTCAGCAGTTGTTAATAACACTGGCTGCTCTTCCAGAGGACCAAGGTTCAATACCCAGCACCCATATGGCAGCTCACAACTGCTTGCAACTCTAGTTCCAGGAAACCTGACACCCTCACAAATAAATGTAGGTAAAACACCAAATGCACATACAATTGAAAAATATAAATAAAACCTGGTTTATCTGTTGCACAATCGTACTTTCATTTCCCTCTAGGCATCAAGTTTAAACCGAACACATAGTCAACCCATCTCTTTCTACATGGGTTCACTTCCTTTTTTATACAGTATCATGTAGTCTTGTTTGGTCCTGTGCTTCTCATCTTTCTGTATTCACTACTGAGAGATGGAATAGGTATGCACAGTAGAACAGGCATGGACCACACCCAGCTTAGCTGTTTAGTATTCATTTTCTTAGATACCCATCTTATCATTTCAGTCAAGGGACCCTTCCTAATACCTTCTGCTCTCAACTCATAGACTGGCACATCTGGACAAAGTGCTGACTCACCATAGCTGATGGATTTGTCTGCCTCTCTCGTTCTCGCCTAATCTCACTCTCAATAGATTCACGAATGGCCAGTTTACAAGCACGTTGGCAAATCTCTGTCAGATCAGCTCCAGAAAAACCGTTAGTCATCTTAGCCAGGAACTCCAAATCCACATCCTAAAGGAAGCAAAAGAGCTACTTTAGCATCATGCCTTCCTGCCATGGGGACACATGGATCTTTGGGCCATCCACTTTAAACACATTGCTCCTGCCTCTGCCACCCCATTTTATTCTTTATTTCTTAAATTATCCTAATAGTCACAAAACTTTCATGTTCCCTTTAGCTAACACAGAGACCTCCAAAGGCATCCTATTCAGGAATCAAAAACATTCTATATTAGTTTCAAAGAAAAAAGCCCCTACAATTGACAATTTTGCACCTGCCTTGGCAACTGGGGACTTGCGCAGATTAGCTTTTAGGATGGCAACACGGGACTTCTCATCAGGAAGTGGGATATAGATGAGTTGATCAAGACGGCCAGGTCTTAGGATAGCAGGATCAATGATGTCAGGCCGGTTAGTAGCTCCAATGATAAACACATTCTTTTTTGTGGACATGCCATCCATTTCTGTCAGGATCTGATTGATGACTCGGTCAGCAGCTCCACCACCATCTCCAATATTACCACCACGAGCCTTGGCAATTGAATCTAACTCATCAAAGAAGAGTACACAGGGGGCAGCTTGCCGTGCCTGTGAAAGTGAAAGAGATCAACTCAAATATTAACTAAATTTCTCAGACTTCAAAAGAAAACAAATAATCACCAATGCCTCAACTGGGCTGCCAGTTAACAAAATGGTTCTGACTCTGGAGAAATAGCCTCTTATTCTATCTTGCCCCCAAACATATGAACATTAGCCAGCCTCTGAAGCTCACCTTGTCAAAAATTTCCCTGACATTGGCCTCAGATTCCCCAAACCACATGGTCAGCAGCTCAGGACCCTTGATGGAGATGAAGTTAGCCTGGCACTCATTAGCAATGGCTTTGGCCAGCAAGGTCTTCCCACAGCCAGGAGGTCCATAGAAAAGAACACCTTTGGAAGGAGTCATGCCAAATTTGAGGAATTTGTCTGGATGTTCCACAGGATACTAGGAAAAAAAAAAGATAATTTAGTTAACTTCCATATTTTAAATAAAATTGTTTTTAGTCATAAGCCTATCATCTACTTCATGGTACATCCTATGGTCTATGATGCAAGTTTTTTGAAGATATGCTCCTTACTACCTAAAACTGGCTAACAGCAGGCTTCTGGGTTATACTCAGATTCTAAGTAAATTTTTAAGTCTGAGGCTTAAAAGGCCAACTACTAGATACCAAGGCAATGACCCACTACCCTAGGTCAAATTAGCCTACCTGAACCAACTCCTGAAGCTCCCGTTTGACATCCTCCAGGCCTCCAATGTCTTCCCAGGTTACTTGTGGCACCTCCACCACAGTTTCCCGAAGGGCTGATGGGTTGCTCTGACTCAAGGCCCACTAAAAAGAGTGTTTGAAAAAGTGGGAATAAGATGGGGAGGAAAGCTTTGCATACAATAGAATACATGTTTGTGTTCTTAATTTGGGGGATGTGGTTCTTACCCGGAAGTCATCCATAGTAACTGCCAAGGAATTCATGACCTCAGCATCAATGGTCTCATCCTCAAGGTCAATGAGGTCCATTTTTTTTCGGATGGCCTGTAGAGCAGCCTCTGAACATAGGGCTGCCAAATCAGCACCCACATGGCCATGAGTCTCATTGGCTACCTGCAGAGAGAAGATCTACTGACGACCTATCCTTAAGACCCAGCTTCCTTAAGAAGTCAGAAACAGAATTCTAACTTCATCCCATGATTCCTATCTCTGATTCCTCCTGTATTCTTGAAGAGATACACTAGACCATTTATTGGTAGAGGTGTTAAATATTCAAGCCTGGATTTGAGAGGTGGAAATAAAGCTGCCCCAACAACTAAAAACATATTCCTGCCCTGAAAACAAAATAATCTCCATCCAACTCTAACATTGCTGTGTAGCCTACACTGGCCTCAAACTCAAGATCCTCCTGCCTCAACCCTTCCTGAGTCCTGAGATTCTGATATGAATCCTCTCATACTAGGTTATGTTTGTAGTCCCTTGCAACTTCCTAAAAACAGAGCTACCCTATATCTTGGCCATCCATCATCACCACTCCACCTGTTCCAAGTCCACATCATCTGCCAGTTTCATGTTCTTGGTATGAATCTGAAGAATTTCCAAGCGTCCTGTAGCATCAGGGATTCCAATATCTACCTCTCTGTCAAAGCGACCTGTGGGACAATACAAAGATGTAAAACAGGAATATCTGCTGATCGTAGACAAGTCATTCCAGAACTCTCTTATTTAGAGTTAACATTAATGCCTCACAACCTGCAAAACCTTCAGGTTTAGGTAAACCAATAGGTGGTTACTCCAGAGCAATGGTTCTCAACCTGTGGGTCATAACCCCTTTGGATCAGATATTTATTTACATTACCATTCATAACAGTAGCAAAATTAGTTATGAAAGTAGCAACGAAATAATTTAATGGTTGGGAGGTTCATCACAACATAAGGAACTGTATTAAAGGGTGGCAGCATTAGAAAGGTTGAGAACCACCATTCTAGAGGGAATACAGAATGGAAAAAAGACAGTAGACCCTGCCATGGCAAAGAAACTGAGGATTAAATAACCTGGATGAAAGACAGTGAGATAAGGAAATCAAGCCAGCAGAACTATAATATGCCAACAAGTAAGAACAAGTTGAGTTAGGCAGTGGTGGCACACACCTTTAATTCCAGCACTTAGGAGGCAGAGGCAGGTAGATCTCTGAGTTCAAGAACAGCTTGGTCTACAGAGAATTCCAGGACAGTCGGGGCTTCATAGAGAAACCCTGTCTTAAAAACCAAACAGACAAAAAGAACAAGCTGGAAAGAATTTGCGTTCTTTACCAAACCGCCGTAGGGCTGGGTCAATGCTATTGGGTCTATTGGTTGCTGCCATAACGATCACGTGTGCTCTTTGCTTTAGGCCATCCATAAGGGTCAACAACTGAGACACGATACGGCGCTCCACTTCCCCGTGAGTCTGTGAAAACAGTATGTCTGGTTAGAAACTAAGTCAGGACCTTCCAAGTCCCCACCATCCCCCTAGGTAAGTTCCTACTTTCTCTCTTTTGGGCGCAATGGCATCAAGCTCATCAATGAAGATGATAGCAGGAGCATTCTTTTCTGCTTCCTCAAAGGCTTTACGGAGGTTGCTCTCAGACTCGCCAGCCAATTTGCTCATGATCTCAGGACCTGAAAAGATACAGAATAGACAAGAGAGGGCCAATGAGGTGGCTTAATGGGTCAAGGTGCTTGTTTACAAAGCTTGATAACCAGATTTTAGTCCTGCACCCCATGTGGTAGAAAGAAGAAACTAATACCCTCAAGTTGTCCTCATGTGTGCATGTTCATACAAACACAATAAATTAATAAAATAGTTGGGTTTTTTTAGAGACAACAAAAAACAATCTCGAAAGAAACTTGTATTTTCTTCCCTAGCCCCAGTATAGGTCCTGAGTAAGAATGTAGTCATTTCTGTCTCTCACAGCATTCTCGGCCCGTTATCAAGCTCAAGCCAGAGCTACCAGATCAGACTAGAAATGGACTCTGCATACCTCCATAGCACAGTTCCAACTGTGAAGATGACAAGGATGATTTGGTAAAAGGCTACTTACCATTGGACCCCTAAGATCTAATTATCATGCTAAAGACAGACAAATGATTTTTTAGCCCATATTCCCCAAAAACTCTCAGATAAGAATAGATTTTATCCAGGTGGCAGTGGCACATGCCTTTAACCCCAGCACTCAGGAGACAGAGGCAGGTGAATCTGAGTTCCAAGACAGCCAGGACTACATAGAGAAACTATGCCTCAAAAACAAAGCAACCTTTTGATTGATCATTACATCTTGTTTCCCAAATGTCTTCAGGTTATCCACAATCTTTCGCAAGGGAAAAAAGAGGAGAATCCCAGCACTTGGGAGGCATAAACAGGCGGTTTTCTGTGAGTTCAAGGCCAGCCTGGGCTACAAAGCAAAGCAGCCAGGCCACACAATAAAACCATGTCTTAACTCCCATCCTATACCTCATTGCCCACACCCAAAATATACTCATTTATCAGAAAATGCTTAAGTGAGGTTACAGAGATAGTTCAAGTGCTAAAAGAGTCTACCTACCTTAGAAGAATGAATACCCAAGTTAGATCCCTAAAACCTACTGTCAAAATAAAACAGAAAAACAGGCATGGTGACACACACTTGTAAACCCAGCACTAAAGAGGTAGGTGGATTCCTGGGGCTGGCTGGTTAGTCAACCTAATATACTTGAACAGTTCCAGGCCAGGTAGACTGCACCTGAAGAATAAGAGTCCTCTGAACTGGACACAAGTGCATGCATACTCCTACACACAAACACACACACGGCTAAAAACTAAAGAGATGAGTCAGCAGTTAAGAACACTAGCTACTCTGCTAGACATCCTGGTTCAATCCCCAGCATCTATATATATCATGGTTCATAGGTTCATAATCAGCTTTAACTCCATTTCTAGAGGTTCTGATGCTCTCTTATGGCCTCCTCATGTATAGCACACACACAGTATACACACATATATGCAAACAAAACAGAACAAACTTGTTAAAATAAAACAATTTTTTAAAGATTTATTTATTATGTATACAGTGCTCTGCCTGCAGGCCAGAAGAGGGCACCAGATCTTATTAGCTACCCATGTGATTGCTGGGAATTGAACTCAGGCCCTCTGGAAGACCAGCCAGTGCTATTAACTACTGAGCCCTCTCTCCAGCTCCAAAATAAAACAATATTTTAAAATATGCTGAAATGTATGGATACAAGTGGATATATCTGTGAGCTTCCCATCTCAGAAATGGGTCTAGTCAGATACAAGATAGACCAAGTTTCTTACCATTGATCAGGAAGAAGAAGGCTCCAGTTTCATTTGCCACAGCTCGGGCAATCAGCGTCTTCCCTGTCCCAGGAGGTCCATATAGCAAGATTCCCCTAGGAGGCTAAGGAAAGTAGAGAGTAGTTAGGGTCAGGAGCTTACCTTCCCCCAACTTCATCCATCCTAGACTAGCTTGACTAGGGATCTAGTGAGGGATGAGAGCCAGGGCTCTCATTAAGAAAAAGCCTCCAGAGGTTGGAAAGATGGCTCAGCACTCAAGAGCACTGGCTGCTCTTCCATAGGACTCAGTTTGGTTGTGGCTGACAACCACCTGTAACTCCAGTTACAGTAGATCTAATGCCTTTTTTTGTCTCTCTGAACACTGAAAGCTCGTGGTACATAGTCATACATACAGGAGTAACACCCATACATATAAAATAATAATAAAAAAGAACAAACAAGCATTTGAGACATGTTTATAATCACAAGTGAAGAGGACAAGGTGGAAAGATTACATGCTTGAGGTGAGACTGGGTAACAATGGGAGACCAAACAAAAACACAAAGAGCAAGGACTGGCAGCACATATCTTTATTCCCAGTACTGAGGCAGAGGCAAATGGATCTAAATTCAGTGCTAACCTGGTGAGTTCCAAGATACCCAGGGATACAGAGAGTCTCAAATATCCTATCCTGCTACCACCCAAAACAAACAAACAAAAACCACAAAGAATGAGTCCCTGGAAATAAACACCGATTAAACGATCATACATTTCTTTTACTGACAGGGAAAGTGATGCCAGCAAGTTAGTAACATTTATAAATTCAACTTCCACAGGAGACTAACATATGTTATGACTCAATTAACATATGCTAAGGGCTCAATTTGACAAACCAGGATCTAGGTCACTGGATAAAGCAGGGTCTGTTTTTCATTGTTAGAGGCTTTCACAGGTGTTTATAACCTTCTAGGAAAGGGATTCTCAATCTGTGGGTCATGACCATCAGAAAACACGTATTTCTGATGGCCTTAGGCATGCCCAACCATAAATTTTCACTGCTACTTCATAATGGTAATTTTGCTGCTGAGGTGTCTCAGTACCTAAGACCATCAGAAATGTGTTTTCCAATGGTCATGACACACAGGTTGAGAACTGTTGCTCTGATTTAATCTCAGGTTAAGATGTCTATTTTTTTGTTTGTTTGTTTGTTTGTTTATTTTTCAAAATAGGGTTTTTCTGTGTAGCCCTGGCTGTGTGCTGGAACTCACTTTGTAGACCCAGCTGGCCTCAAACACTAAGAAATCCGGCACTCCAGTGCTGTGATTTAAAGTGCACATCACCACCACCCAGCCCAAATTGTTTTTTAACAATCAATAATCAATTGCAACTTTTCCTCTTTGAAGTTGTCTGCAGCCTTATCCACAGTACACTGAAACTGCCCTCAAAGAAGTCAAAACCATTTGTATGCTTCCTAGACAAATTAGTCATTTCTTTTTTGGTATGATCTATTACATACAAAAGGTCAGAAAACTATATTCTAGATAGGTGGTTCTCAAATGTTTAACTCAGAAATCTAATACTTGATCAATTTTCTTCCTTTATTGAGTAATGGGCTATAAAACTGGCAAACTTATGGCTAACATTTTAATATGATCCATGAAAGAACTGTAATGTATATTATGTATGTGTATGTATCCACAAATATATACCACCCATTTTGTTCTTTATAATGGCTCTAATGAATTTAGAGCCTTCTCTAAACGCTAAGGATGCTCACCTTCACACCGATTGCCTTAAAGAGCGCAGGATGTCTCAATGGCAGTTCCACCATCTCCTTTATCTGAGCTAGCTGCTTCCTGCAGCCACCGATATCATCATAGCCTACTTCATTCAAGGACTCTTCCTCATCCTGGAAATGGAAGCATACAAAGAACAAAGAAAATAAGAATAGTATTGTCAGCAAAAATACAATTTTTCTAAATTCTCCCACTATGTGGTGTGGGGAAATATTCTGTACAAGAAGATTCTCTTCTATAGTAATCTCATCTTAAGCCAGATGTAATGGCACATGCTTGTAATCTCCAGCACTTGAAAGGCAGAGGGAGAAAAGACTGAATTTGAGGCCAGCTCGGGCTACAAAGTGAGTTCCAGACAGCCTATTTAGCAATACCCTGTCAAAGGAAAACAAAACAAACAAAAAACAGAAACAAAAACCCAAACCCTCCTCTGTGACAGTCCTTAGTCTTATTGATAAGGGATCCCTAAAATTAAAGCTAACCTACATTACTGGGCCCATCAACATCCCATTTTGAATGGAGTGGGGGTGGTTCACAAAGCACCACCCAACTGAGGAGCAAGCTGTATGTAGGCAGTTAATGGCTGCTAGGAGACAGAATCATATTCCTTAGTGGTACAGCCACTGTCATTGGCAAGCTGGTCAATAACCCCCCCCCCCCATAGCAATGATCAACTCTAAATAAATTCAGTGGGCCACCAAGAGGGGAAAAAAAACAAAGAAATAGAAACAGAAACATGAAGTAGGAAGATTTTGAGAGAAAAGGGAGGATCAGCAGAATTAGGCATGGTGGCGCATGCCTTTAATCCCAACTTGGGAAGCAGAGGCAGGCAGATGTGTGAGTTCCAGGTCAGCCTAAGTGACACAGTGAGACCCTGTCTAAAAAAACAAACAAGCTGAGTGGTGGTGGGGCACACCTTTAATACCCTTTATACCAGCATTTGGGAGGCAGAGCCAGGTGGGATCTCTGTGAGTTTGAGGCCAGCCTGGTCTACAAAGTTGAGTTCCACAACAGTCAGGACTGTTACAGAGAAACCCTGTCTTATAAATGAATGAATGAATGAATAAATACAAAAAACCCAAAGGGGGTAGGAATGAAAGAGTAATGAGGAGGGATAATATGATCAAACACAGCTACGTGGGTGCTGGGAACAGAACCTAGAACCTCTGGAAGAGCAACCAGTGTTCTTAACCACCAAGCCATATCTCCAGCCGTTTATATTTTTTGAGACAGGATCTTCCATCATAGACCATCATGCTGGACTCAAACTTACAGTAATACTCCCATTTCCACCTCCTAAACATTAGGATTATTTTCATGTACCACCACACTCAGTGTCAATCTTCTAGACTTCATCTCAAATCCATGGCATTGGGTTCTTTCAATAAATACTTGGGTGATTTTTCACTTCCATAAGGTCATCTAATCTCCAAAAGCATTCAGCTTGATAACCAACACAAATGCCACTTGAGTGGTAATAAAATTGGGAGACGCGGATACAGTTCAGTGGCAGAGCACTTGCCTAAAATACACAAACCCTGGGTTCAATTCCCCAGCACCACAAACAGAAAACAAACTGGGATAAGGGAGTAACTCACCTCTCGCTTGATTGGCTCCCCTTCACAGTGGATCACTGTGTCTGGAGCAACAATACAGTAAGGGCTGGGATCTGTCTCTACTACTTTGAACTCCACAGCTCGCATACCACCCCGGACAAGGAAAATATCTCCTATAATACAAAGCAATACAAGCAAAATTAGAGGTGTCAAGAACAAGATCAAGTGAAAATTCCCCACCAGACCCATGAGCACTCAGTAGATACCCTTCTTCCCTAACCAGGCAATAGTAAAACCCTAATCTGTATTGCATTTCTCTGCTACTCAAGACTAGTATATAGAAATGATATGACAGAAGCTCCCTTTAACAAACAATTAGGGTACAGATAGCCTAAGCTTTCACTACAACCAACAATGGCAGAGGTGTACACTTTAACCTTGAGAGTCAGCAAAAAGAGAGACATGAGAACTACTTACTATCCTGGAGCACAGAGGAGGTAAGAGGGCAGACAAATATGCGTGCAGGATACATATATGCATACTCATAGACATGAAAATAACATGAAACTGTTCCAAAGTTTACTCAAGTATCAACCATTCTTAAACTCAGTTTCTCTCACCTTTCCGGATGGGTCGATAAGCTTCCAGGAAGTACGGCTTAAGGTACACTTCAAAGAGATTGCCAGTGATGCCTTCCACCGTGTCATCGATGGGTAGCACATGGATACGTTTGCCATACTTTACATCAGGGCATGGCTGGATGCTGAGGATGACAAGCAGACTCCACATTACCAACCACACTGCAGCCCCAAGCACTGGGTGTCCGAAAGGGCCTGGCACAGACAGCTGATGGCAAGCGAAAGAGAAAAGGCAGGGATGGCCTTAGGTGAAGAGAAGAAGGAGAGCAGGGTGGGAGAGGAGGCAAAGGAACAGCCAAGCAGAACTAAGAAAAGTCACAACCACAACAAGATAATAGAAGTCCACTCATCATTAAGTCAAAATTAAGAACACTTGGAAGCCGCACATATGCACAGTTCTACCACTTGAGTCTTCAATACGGAATAGTCAAGGATAATCTTTTCTAGTTAATACTGACCATAGTCTGTTTCTCCCAAGTGTTGAGATTACTGGGAATATAGGTACATGCTACCATGTGTGGTTGACATCCCACTTTTACAAGGGGGAGGGGGATGGCAAGGTTTGACAAGAGAATCAAAACTTTTGATGTCAGTGAAAGACATAAAAAAAAAATTTCAATCACAAGATCAAAACACCTTGAGAAAGTGACTAAGCAGGCTCAAGAAGGTACTTAAATTTAAAAAAACTTCAGAAACTTGATTGATCCTGGCCAAGTAACTGGAGATTGTGGAAGCCTCGTGCCTAGCTGGGAAGAACAACTAAAATCATTCATACCAGAGCAATCCCAGGTATAGCCGTAACTATGCTCTTCTCCCCAGGTTTAATTATCTTTATTGCTTTCCTTTTCCTTTTTGGAGACAGTCTCACTATGTAGACCACATTAGCCTGAACTCATAGCCCCACCTGTCTCTGGGTCCCACGTGCTGGGATTAAAGGTATGCACCACCAAGCCCAGCCTAGGTTTACTTATTTTTAGAAGTACTGTTTTAGAAGACCTCCCTTCCTACTCTCACTTCCACTTCATTACAGCACCATCACAAGCCATTAAGAAAGCCATGGAGATGCCAATTTGTCCTAACAATCATAAAGGGGAGGTGGATTTTGAAGTCTCTAGAAAGGCAATGCAACCTGAAGACAACCCTGAAAACATGAGTCTTCCCATGACCAGGTAGCTGCCATGGATTCCGTCCTGGTTGTAATGGAGGGTTGGTGTCTATAATGCAGGCTGTAGTATATGGCCTCACATCCCACTCCACCCCACACACACCTGATGACATCCCCTAGGCGAACACGGAGGTTATTCCGAACAACTCTATTCATTCGAATCTTCTCATCAGAGCATGTGTCATCAGAAAGTACAATGCACACAGCTTCCCGTCTCTTCTTTCCTTTTAGCAACACTGTGTCACCTCGGAACAACTGCAGTTCATCCATCTTGGGCTAAGAAAAAAACAGTTAAAGACTTGGAGCCACTGAGCTTTTCAGTAGGCAGAAGCCCTCTAGGTTAGAATTCCCTATAAACCCCCACTTTATCCGTCACTGCAAGAAAAATGACAAAAGAAAGCTGGGGAAATCTAAGTGCAGTAAAGAGTGGACTGTACACTCAATTTACCTGGGACAAGGACACCACACTGTTATCTTCATTGATGGCTTCATCAACAATTAACCGATTGGGTCGGTTCTTTTGTTTGAGAATGGCTGTTGATAAATCATCGCCTTTTGAACTGGAAGAAAGAAAATGGGATCAGACCTAAAGGATACTGAGCCCCACCAATCCCTAAGATTCACAAAGGCAAGAAAGAATGCATAGATGAAGCTTAAAAGCTCAGATAAGCAGGTCGGTAGTGGTACATGCCTTTAATCCTAACATTTGGGAGGCAGAGGCAGGTGGATCTCTGAGGCAGGCCTGGTCCACAGAGCTAGTTCCAGGACAGCTAGGACTGTTACACAGAGAAACCCTGCCTGGGGGGTAGGGGTGGGGGGAGGGACTAAGAAAGAAATGAAAATGCTTTCATAACGCCTGGTGCATGGTCACCACTGAAAAAGTTCTCTTATTGCTTGTCCTCCAAAGGAATAAAGTGAGCCAGAAAATGTTTAGGGAGGCCATGTTCTACCTAGCAAGCCTCTGTACAACAAAACACAATTTTTAACACTATCCTCCTCAAAAACTAAATCTCATGAATCCAAGAATATTTCCAAGTACCACAAGACCACCAAGCACAAAACAACATAAAATAAAAAGTAATATACAACAGGACAAAAAAAAACCGTATCTAGAACCTTCAGAAAGAGGATCCAACTCCTGGCATTTCTATAAAAGCACATGACTTTTGTTAATTCAGAAACAAAAATCGAGAATGTTTGAGACATGGGAAAATCCTTCACTTAAATTAAGAAACTAAGTTGTTGCTGGGCAATGGCACCTTTAATAACAGCACTAAAGAGAGGCAGATCTCTGAGTTCAAGGTCAGCCTGGTCTATAGACTTGAGTTCTGGGACAGCCAGGTTTAAAAAAAAAAAAAAAAGGAAGAAAGGAAACCATGTTTCTTTTTAAAGGTTATTACCACATGAATTAATTACAAATGTTAGTTTCATTGACATTTCCATACTTGTATGTATTTTTATGAGCCCCCATTGCCCTCTTTAGGCCCTCTCCCACTGATCCTTTTCCTCTGTTTTGTGTATGTGATCCAATTATTTTAATTAAGAGCTAACATGATGAGGGGTAATCTACATGAGCAACCTGTCAGTGGCTACACTACTTGAGAAAATGTGTCCCTTTACCCATGCAAACCATTAGCTGCCACTAACTCCTAAGGAACTGGTGGGACCTTATGGGCCTTTCCCACTAACTTTATAGAAGTTAGTGTTATTCACTGGACAGTGATACTAACTCCTTTCTTTCTACATTTATATCTGTCTTGACTGTATATATGTTATGGTAGTTGCTTTGTCTTCCTACCATGTGGGTTCGTTCAATGGACTGAACTTAGGTTGTCAGGTCTGGCAGCATGTGTCTTTACCTTCTAAACCAATTCACTGGTACCAAATGTCATAACTAGCTCTTTTCTAGCATCCATCTACTCAGTGGACTCTCCCTCTGAAGTTACCTCTGACCACGAACTGTGGGATAAGCCTTTCTTTAATCCTAGCAGTTGGGAGGAAGAGGCACATCGATTATCTATGCATTTGAAACCTGTTTAGTCCACAGAGTTCCAGGCTGGGGCTATATAGTGAAACCCTATCTCATCAAAAAGAAACAAATGAAATCCCCAAAACACTTTTCTTCCAATGTTTGAGAAACGTTATTAACCAAAATAGAAGTCAAATGATGGAAAAAGCAAATGAAGGGGAGAAAAAAAATCTATTTCTGCAACAAATTAATAATAGGCATAGTGCTTCATTATAGTGCTTCATGCCTGTATCTCAGCAATTGCCTGAGCAGCACAGCAAGACTATTTCAATAGTAGTAATCATAAATGAGTGCCTATAAAGCATCACATTGTTCTAGGAGCTGAGATGAGACAGCAAAATCAAACAAAAAAGCACTGCCACTGGAAATAATCTTACCCTCACTTATAGACTATTGTTTATTTATTATTATAAAGGGCCTTGCTATATATAGCCCTGTCTGACTATATAAACTAGGTTGACCTTGAACTTGCAGTGATCCTCCTGACTGAAATCAGAGGCCTGCATCACCACACTCAGCTATGTTACATCTTTAATCACTACTTCAGATAAACTAGTTTCCAGAGTAGTTTCCTTAGCTCTAACTTGCCTCCTCATTTCAAAGGGTGTGGCCATAATGATGCTGAGATTCCAAAAATAAAAGTGTATTCACCAAATTTTCTATTTTCCCATCTTCTCAAACTGCTTTCCCCAGAGGCTGCCCATCTTCTTATTTTATTTACAGGACTGAATTAAAGATAATTCCTCAAGTTATCACTTTGTATTTTAATCTCAAAATTGCATTTCAGAATCGGGGCATGGTGGCAAACACCTTTAATCCCAACACTTGAGATTGGCCAGCTAGTCTACTGAGTGAGTACCAGGGCAGCCAGGCTGTCACACAGCGAGGCCCTATCTGGAAAGGAAAAAAAGACTGCAACTCCAATCTGACTGAGTCCAGACCCTGGCTCTAGAGATGAGTGGTATGCCCTTAAAGACCTGTAATTCATCTACCCATGGAGTTAGAGCTGGTAAACATTTGAAAAGAGCTGAGAGCAACTGCAGCTCTAAATGTTCTTTAGGGAAATCTATCGTCTGCATGACTCAGGTCCTTTCCAGAACTCAAAACCACACAAGGGAACTTGGAAGAAGTTCAGGTAAGAACCATCAAGAAGACCTAAAGGTAAAAACCATCTATGATGCCAAATTTCAGGAATTTTAATTAAAAAAAAAATCTGGATATAAATGTGCATACTGTGACTTTTCTATGACCCCATTATTGGGGGATAAGGGTGGCACAGCAGCAAGACCAGATATATTCAAAACAACCTTGACTACCGTGGCTGAGTTTACCGTGGCTGAGTTTAATCCCAGTACCTGAAAGGCAGAAGCAAGCTATCTCTGAGTTCTGGGCCAACCCTGTCTACAGAGTGAGTTCCAGGACAGCCAGGGCTACACAAAAACCCTGTCTTGAAAAATAAACAAACAAACTTAACTTTAAAAAAAGATAGGGGGCTGGTTAGATGGCTCAGTGGTTAACAGCACTAACTGCTCCTCCAGAGGACCCGGGTTCAATTCAAAGCACCCACATGGCAGCTCCCAGTTGTCTGTCACTCCAGTTCCAGAGAATCTGACATAGTTATACCAATGCGCATGAAATAAAGTTAAATAAAGTTTTTTAAAAAAAAGATAAATAAAACAAAGGTGAACTACTACAGAATATTTTTAAAGTATATTTGTTTTTGAGACAAGGACTAGGTAGCCCGGGAACTCTCAATGTAAACTAGGCTAGCCTAGATAGAACTTTCTGCCTTTCGAGTGCTGGGGATTAAAGGCGTGCACCACCCCACCCACCCTGGCTATTTAATACTAATAGTCCTTTTAACTAAGCAACTGAGTGAATATTTCATTCTAAGGAAATGAAATTTGAAACACCTAATCGTCTCAAAACAGCAAGATTTGTATAAATTATTTTCCTAGGCTTGCTGGTTTTTCTTTTTTGCTTGGGTAGCTCTAGTTTCTAAACGGAATGTCTGAAGTAACTGGGTTTTATTCGATGTTTTCCTAAGAAAGTTGGGGCCATAAAATCCCAAGGCCCAAACAATCTCTAATCGTAGCTACTTGGGAGAGAAATGTGTATGTTTTTAAGAGTTATTTAAGACTTAAGTCAACTCTAACCTGCAATTTCTGAAAGCCGTAATACAGAAAGCAAAACCAAAACAAAACCAACTCAGACTCTAACTTTAGCACCATAAAATAGAAAAATACCTTTCTAGCCACCCCCTGGACAAAGAAAAAAATAATAATAGGTAAAGTTTCCTTGAATTTACAACGGGCCTAACGAGGTGAAAATCGCCATTTAAGAAAAGCACGCCCTTCCCTCTCCCTATCAGGCCCGCAATACCCAGGGTGTAAAAGATGCCAACCTCCGGCAAGGCCGTCCGGCTCTACCAAGGCCGACCTGGGCTTCCTTCTCCCGGGTAGCTCGGCCCGGCCCTCCCGAGTCCCGGGGCTCCTGAGGCCTTCACGTGGCCCCAAGTCCACGCCCACTGGGCCCAGTCGGGGCCTCCGGCTCGTAGTGTTTTCTCTTCGCGGGCTCAGGGTCTTCCGCGAGTGGTCGGAGAAGCGCCCGACCGGCGTTCCAGCGCCATGGAGCTCCGCGCCGGCAGCGTGGACCCTAAGGCCTAAGTAGGCCGGGGCCGCCGTGCCCAGGGAGCGAGGCAGGCCGGCCGGGGCCTGCATGACACAGCACCATCTTGCCCAGGCTCCGACCCAGGCCCAGCGCGGGCCCGACCTAGGGGGCGCGCGGGTGCACAGCCCGGCCCGAGGCCCTCACTCGCCCCTTTCCTCTCCTTCCGTCTCTCTCCTCCCGGCCTAGACTCTCCGACGCGGCCCTGCCTGGCCTACCCAGCGTGGCGAGTCCCACGGTGCGCGCCGCCGCAGCCGGCGGCCGTGCGCGCGCATCCACTTACTCGGCTCCAGAGGCCATGGCGCGCGCCTGTCCCGGTCGGCGGCTGTGGCGGCCTGAGGGTAACGGCTACGAGAATGGCAGGCGACCGGCTAGGCCCGGGCTTGACTCACTCAGGCGGTGGATCAACAGCAGTGACAGACCCTCAGACAGCCTCCCTCTCGCTTCCTCCCAGCGGCACCGGGGCGGCAGGCGGGCGGGAGACGCTAGCTCCGGATCCGCGAGGGGGGCAGCGGCAGCGACTAATCAAACGACGGCTGCAAACGCTTCGCTGAGACTGAGCCGAGAAGAGCCGAATCATCGGAAGGAGAGCTGCCCTCACCTCCACCAATCAGCGCCTGCCTGGGGACTCGTGCCCGCCTCTCCGTGCCTCTCCCCAGCAACCCGCGGACCACGACCAATCAGAAAATTCGTTTAGTGTGTAGCCCCGCCTCAAGGCTGCAACACGCCTAGTAACGCCACGTCAATTGGCCGCAGCACTACGCTTCCTCGACGGATTGGGATTCCTGACCAATCAGCAAAAGTAATAGGCCAGCTCGGCTGGTAAAAGGAGAGCCTTTAATTCCTCCGAGGAGGCCTCTCCTACTTGGCTCCAGTTGATTGGCTCCTTAGTTTATAAGCTGCAGGAAGAACCTGACACAATGGCTTGAACCCTTATTAGTTTAGTCGGGTCGTAATGGTAACCCACACAGTTCATTTCTCGCCAATCCTGGGGATCCTCTTACTCCACTACACCAACCCTTCGTGCTCCTTTACAATACTGGCTCCAACGAAGGGCGTGGTGGATGGGCTAGATCTGTAATCCTAACAGTTGGGAAGCAGAGGCAGGAGGATTATTAGTTGGAGATCAACTCAGGAGACAGGACCTTTTCTGAAAAACAAAACCAGATCGGGTGTAGTGGCGCAAATCTATACTTCTAGCATCGATACAGTGTCTCAAAATTAAATTTTAAAAGCAGTGTGGTGGCACATTCTTTTAATGTGCCACTTGAGAGGCAGAGGCAGGCGGATCTCTGAGTTATAAATCAGCCTGATCTATAAAAAAATAAAATAATAAAATAAAAAAGTCACAGCCAGGCAGGGCCGCATAGTGAGACTCTATCTGAAAACTAAGTAAATAAAATTTTAAAAAGCAAAAACAACTGAGTATGGTGGTATTGACCTTAGATGCCCGTGCTCTACAGCTAAGAGCAGGAGGGCTGAGAGTTTGAAGCCAGCGAGTGCTGAAGAGATAGACTAGTTCTAGGCACCTTTTTCCGAACCCTAGTACTGAGTCAGCAGCACCCCAGCTCCTAATCCATTCTGTTGACACTGCACGCTCTTAACTAATCCCCCAGGCTTCACAATTCCTCGGGCTTTGGGAGTCCATACTCCCTGTCATAGTGCATAAATAGCACCTGGTGAGGAGGACTCAGGTTCAGAGAGGTCAGTGACTTCTACAGAGCACACAGCACTTCAGCAGTGCCTAAGAGCAAGAAAATCAACCCCAGGCTCGGGCTTAAGGTCCTTAGGCCCCAAAAGACAATGAATTGGCACTCATTGTAGTCCACAGACTGTTAGCTCAAATGGAATCCTGATTCAGTTGACCTTTAACCTCCTATCCCAGACTGATCTGAAATAGTTTGGCTCTAGAGATGGAACTACTCTGAGAAACATCTCTTTCATCCACCTGTCTCTGCCTCCCGAGTGCTGGGATTAAAGCTGTGCACCACTTGTCCCTCCCTTAAGTATCATGTACCCACTCTTCCTTAAGAGGCCTGTCAAAATCAGTCTTCAGACCTGACCTCACTCACTGTCACCTAGCCCAGATTCCTGTGCTTTCAGATAACAGAGCTAGCGAGATGGTTCAGTGGCTAAGACAATGTAATTGCTCTTCCAGAGAACACAGGATGGATTCCCACCACCCGTCAGGTGGTTCACAACCTCCTGTAACTATGGCTCTGAGGGACCTAACGCCTCTGGCCTCCAAGGGCACCCACGCACATATGGATAGCATACACACACATGATTTAAAATAAGTAATTGAAAATTTTAATAATAATTTTTAAAGGACTATATCACTGCTTCCTCGAAAGGATTAATGTAGCATTTTACTCATACACCTCAAGCTCTTAAATTAGATGGGGAGGGGGGCTGGGTAAGGGATAGGGACTGCGGATTATATATGAGGAATTGGAGTTCAGTCTCCACAATCCACCCTTCCAAAAGGAAAGTGGGGGAAAAGGGGGGTCTGGAAGGCAGGGAAGGCAGACAGAAATGGATGTTGGAAAGATAGCATCTTAAAAAATAACACCTATGAGTCTACCATGAGCCTTCCCATTCAACCATGTGTAGTAAGCAGATAAGAAATAAATATGGGATTTTACTCAACACACACACCAAAAAGGAAGAAAGGAAGGAAGGAAGGAAGGAAGGAAGGAAGGAAGGAAGGAAGGAAGGAAGGAAGGAAGGAAGGAAGAAAAGAAGGAAGGAAGGAAAAAGTGTCATGACCAAAGTCAATGATTTGCTCAAGAAAGCATTCTGGAACTAGAATGGCAGTAAGCAGACCAAGGTTCATAATACACCAACCTCATCAGTGGAAGAATTATTTGGGAACAGTCAGCTCCAACCATATTATCCAAAGAGGATAAGGCAAAGAAAACCCCTCCCCATGGAGATGGTCCACAGGGGCCCCAGCTCAAGCTCCTGGGAACAAGAAAGCTACAGGTCACAAGACTCCAGAAGAGACGTTCCAAACTCCTCGAGAAGAGCTTCACAGTTAGGGGGATGGATCCAGCTCAAACAGGTTTCTAAATACAGTGGAAGAGACCTGCAAAGCAAGAATGGTGATGCCTAAGAGTGAAAGACCGACATAGGTTTGACATCCTTTCTTCCTTTTGTTCCTCATGACCCCCACTACAGAATTCCAGCTCCCTCCACAGCCCCAAGTCAGGAAGATTCAGTCTTACCAGGTGGTTTCTTCCTGTGCTGGCTGAGTTTGGGCCTTCTGCCAGAAAGCAGCAGCCTCATTCTTCCGTTCCAATCTCTTCAGAGTCTGAAGCAGGTAAAAGGAACCATCTCTGTTGCCTATAGCCCCACCACAAAGTACAAAGACTTAGAACCTGATTTACAGACCTGGAGAGAGGAAGCATCTTGTCTACACACACACACACACACACACACACACACACACACACGAAACCAAAACTAGATTATTTATAACCATACTCTCCCAGAAGCCACCACTTGCCCAGTACAAAGTGTTCAATTGGCCCTGTTCCTACAAAACCATCCTTACATAGTCCAGATCTTTATGTCTGAGGACAACAGGGAGACCAGGGAATTCTTAGGAGCTTGCATACATGTTTGTTTGTATATGCATACATGGGTACCTCCTGGGTAATACAGTAAAAGCCTATCCCAGTCTTCCTATCTGGGCATACTATGCTTACACTTCTGTTCAAGTATTACCCCTCCTGTACAGCTAACGTCATACAAATGTACTCACCTGGGCATATCTGCACACTAAGGAGGAAGTCACTTAAGGCCTTGGTATCCTGGTTACTAGCTGCCCATTCCAGCCCACGGCTAAGCAGAGCGGCTACTTGAAGATGTTTCAGCACCACATCAGGCCTACACTTCTGCTCACAGTTGGAGCCTGCCCCTAGAGATCACCACCAAAGTCAGCAAGTATCTTCCTGTCATCCAAGACACACAGTTGCTAAACCCCCAAGTCCCCATCCTGCCTTTCCCAACTTTTTTATTTTATTTTATTTTTTTTTTTGAGACAAGGTCTTACCACAGAGTCCCAGCTGACTCAGAACTCACTATGTACATTAGGATGGCCTCAAACTCAGAAGTCTACCTGCTGAAGCACTAGGATTAAAGGTATGTGCTACCATGCCCAGCAGGTCTCCTGAAGTCTCCCAGTCTAGTGGATTGAAATACAATGGAAAGGGGAATTCACAAGCCACTTTCAGTAGTTAAGAAAAATTGACAATCTAAATTAGAGTCAGGCATGGTGGCAAACACTGAGAGGTAGAGGCAGGAGGAACAGAAAGTCATCCTTGACTAAAATAGTAAACTTAAGGCCAGCTGGTCTAAATGAGAACCTCTTTCATAAAAAAGAAAAGAAAAGAGAAAAATTTTTTAAAAATTAAATACCTTGTTCTTTGTCCTCAGGCAGGGCCCGAAAGAGCAGCTCGAGGCACCTGAAGTAGAATAGAAACAGAGCGATAAAGAGCTGACCCTGACATTAAGGTGACTACTGAGAACAAAGTCCATCAACCAAGGTCCCCACCAGAAGTCATCCTTCCACACCTCCCCAGCGCTCTGCTTCCTGACTCACTGGCTAAACTCACTAAGTGCCTCTTTTTGAGCCTTTAGTTGTGACCAGGCCTGGCCCTGAAGCAGGTGGGTGGCAGAGACCCAGATTGGGCAGTATGACAGTTCTTTGGTTCTTTTTCTGGCATTTTCCCACAAGGACATCTTGGGAAGCAGAGAAGAGGTTCGGCTGAGCAGCTCCTCACATACAGTCAAAGCATCTGGAGCTCGGCCTGCCTGGATCAGCGCTGCCGCCGCCTCCAGACACAACTCTGGTATACAAGGCCCTGTAGAGGAGGTGGGTGGGGGGAACTGGGGGAGGGAGGGAAGAGACAGTGTCCTGAAGTGGCATGACACCATTCCTGAGCTCACCACCATGCAAAGAGAACTGGTTCCCCAGAGAGACCAATGAATAGGGTGGGGGTGTCCCAACCCACCCAGCTAATTGCAGAGAACCTTAAGACACACCTACCCCTGGTTCTGAGTCGCCCAGCAACATAGCTAGCAGGTCCAGGTAATGTTCTGCAGCATCTTCTGCCCTGGAGAGGTAGGCAGCCCCTGAGTTTCACCAAGGACTCTGGCCCCCCCATAAAGGTTAGAATGCTCTCTTTGCTAATGGATGCTTTGGTTCCTGAGGAGTAAAGGGGGAGCAGGGTTTGGGAGCTCCAACCCTGGCTCAGTATATATCTATCCCATTTCAGGAGAGATGGGAGAGGTTACTGTCTGCATGAGGACTTCTCAGTTAAGGTCCCTCTTTAAGGCAGGAGGCTATGTCTTGCCAATGCTTTAATCACAAGGATAAGCAATCACACAAAAGAAAAAAGGGGTCTGGGGAACATGGTTCCGTGGATAGAGTGCTAGTTATGCAACTATGAGGAGTTTAGCGCCCCAGTACTCTTGTAAAAACCCAGTACGGCAATACACTTTTTTGTTTTGGTTTGGTTTGTTTATTTGTTGTTTTTTTTTAAGATTTATTACGTATATAGTGTTCTGTCTGTATGTATGCGTGCAGGCCAGAAGAGGGCACCAGATCTTACAGACAGTTGCAAGC